AGATAATTACCAAGTGTTCTTCTTCTGGCTGCACTGCTGTACCAGGCATAGTTGGGAATGTATGAGTGAATGAGATTTTCCCTATTCTCATGGAGCTTATTATCTGGGCACTGGAGAGGCTTCTCCCTCACAGCGGTGACCCTTGAAGGAAGTGGTGGCAATGGTGCTGTTTCAGATCGTGGCCATGTGTAGGGGGACCCGGGCCTGGTGGGCCTAATCACAGAATGGCAGGTGCCGACTGGCTTAACACAAGGGGGAGCTTTCCAAGTGCGATGGGATAATTCTGACAAAGAAATCAGATGGCTTCAAAAAGATGTGCTCTTTTACATTTGAAAACAAATGTCTTTTTAAAAAGTATTTTAATAACAATTTAAACTTGAGAGGCAGACCTTGCCTTGAGGGCTGGAAACTGGGAAGTGTTCCTTAAAGAGCAAGGGGAAGTAATTTTGTCCTTTAGTAATGAAGTGTCTGACAGTGACATTTATTCATTCAGTATATTTTTATTATTAATAGCTACCTGCTTTGAACCAGCCTGGGACACTGTGATGAAGAAGGAGCCCACAATCTAGTGGGGGCCACTGGCAAGTCACTGGGCAGTCTCAGTACCCCGTGCTCAGTTGTATGATTAGGTGCTGTGGGGCAGAGACTAAGTTTCTTACCTTTGATCATCATCTTAGGTGATCAAAGAAGGCTTCCTGGAAAAAGTGATATTCAGAGCACCCTCACCATTGTATGTTGGGATTAATCCCGTTTCCAGCTAATACTGTATTACATACAAGTCAGAGCCCTGTTTTTGTTTTTGTTTTGTGAGTACCCAGTACCTTTCTGTTGAAAGTTGAGAGACTGAACTCCTGTGTTGATGGCTGTCCATGACTGCCATGCCTCTGCCTACCCAGTCTTCCCAACACCATTTTTTGAAGAGACTGTCCTTTCACTAATGTGCGTTCTTGATGCCTTTGTTGAAATTCAGTTGACTGTAAATGTGTGGATTTATTTCTGGATTTTCTATTCTGTTGAACTATTTGAAAAAGAAATCAAGAAAGCAATCCCATTTATAGTTAGCTACAAAAAAAGTAAAATACCTAGAAATAAATTTAACCAAGAATGTAAAAGATCTCTGTGATGAAAACTATAAAATTTTGAGGAAATAAATTGAAGAGGACACAAATAAATGAAAAGACATGATGCGTTTGTCGATTTTTTTTTTTTTTTTTTTTTGAGACAGTCTCACTTTGTTGCCCAGGCTAGAGTGAGTGCCGTGGTGTCAGCCTAACTCATGGCAACCTCAAACTCCTAGGCTCAAGCGATCCTACTGCCTCAGCCTCCCGAGTAGCTGGGACTACAGGCATGCGCCACCATGCTTGGCTAATTTTTTTAATGTATATTAGCTGGCTAATTAATTTCTTTCTATTTATAGTAGAGATGGGGTCTTGCTCTTGCTCAGGCTGGTTTCAAACTCCTGACCTCAAGCAATCTGCCCAACTCGGCCTCCCAGAGTGCTAGGGTTACAGGCGTGAGCCACCTTGCCCAGCCAGAATCAGTATTTTTTGAATGTCCATACTACCCAAAGCAATCTACAGATTCAGTGCAAAATCTATCAAAATAGAAATTTTGAAATTTCTATTTTTCTATAATGAAAATTTTCACAGAATTAGAAAAACAATCCTGAAATTTGTATGGAATCACAAAAGACCCAAATACCTAAAGCAATCCTGACCAAAAAGATAAAAAGCTGGAGGCATCACAATACCTGACTTCAAATATATTACAAAGCAATAGTAATGAAAACAGCATGGTGTTGATGTAAAAAGAGACATATGGACCAACGTAAAGGAATGGAGAACCCAGAAGCAAATCTGACAGAATAGCTATCACTTCTTGAGGGCTTACTTTGTGCCAGGCACTGTTCTAAACACTTTACATATATTATATGGTTTAATCATAATAACAATCTTATAAAGGTACTGTTATCTCTGTTTTATATATGAGGAAACTAAGATATACAGAGAGTTAAGAAGGGAGCCCAAAGTCATGTATCCATTAAGTAGTTGAACTAGAGTTGGAATGTACCTTTAAAAACATTGCAGTGAAATACACATGACATAAAGTTTCTAATTTTAACTGTTTTTATTTACTTTTATTTATTTATTTTTTTGAGACAGAGTCTTGCTCTGTTGCCTGGGATAGAGTGCCGTGGTGTCAGCCTAGTTCACAGCAACCTCAAACTCCTGGGCTCAAGCAATCCTCCTGCCTCAGCCTCCTGAGTAGCTGGGACTAGGCATGTCCACCATGCCTGGCTAATTTTTTCTATATATTTTTAGTTGTCCAGCTAATTTCTTTCTATTTTTAGTAGAGATGAGGTCTCACTCTTGCTCAGGTTGGTCTTGAACTCCTGACCTTGAGCGATTCTCCCGCCTTGGCCTTCCAGAGTGCTAGGATTACAGGTGTGAGCTACCACGCCCAGCCAAATTTTAACCATTTTTAAATGCACTGTTCTATAGTATGAAGTACATTCACATATTTGTGCAACCATCACCACCATCCATCTCTAGAACTGTTTCGTTTTGACCAACTGAAACTCTGTACTGACTAAACACTTAGTCCTCATTCTTCTTTTCCTGGCCCCTGGCACCCACCATTCTGCTTTCTGTCTCTATGTATTTGACTACTCCAGGAATCTCATATAAAAGGAATCATACAATATTTATCTTTTTGTTGCTGGCTTATTTCACTTAACATAATGTCTTCAGGGTTTATCCAAATTGCAGCATATGTCCAAATTTCCTTTTTAAAGGCTAAATAATATTCCACTGTATGTATGTATTACATTTTGTTTATCAGTTCATCTGTTGATAGACAATTGGGTTACTTCCACGTTTGGCTATTGACAATAGTGCTGCTATGAACACAAGTGTACAAATATCTCTACAAGGCTGGATGTGGTGGCTCATGGTCTATAATCTCAGCACTTTGGGAGGCTGAGGTGGGAGGATCGCTTGAGGCCCAGTAGTTCGAGACCAGCTTGGGCAACATAGGTGAGAACCTGTCTCTACAAAAACATTTTAAAAAATTAGCTGGGCCTGGTGGCACATGCCTGTAATCTTAGCTACTCAGGAAGCTGAAGTGGGAGGATCACTTGAACCCAGGAATTTGAGGCTGCAGTGAGCTATGACTGTGTTCTGCCCTCCAGCCTGGGTGCCAGAGTGACCCCTGTCTCTCAAAAAAAAAAAAAACAAAACTCTTCAAGACTCTGCTTTCACTTCTTTTGGGCATATACCCAGAAGTGGAATTGCTGGATCATATGGTATGATAATTTTGTGTTTAATTTTTTTAAATTTTTTTTTAGACAGAGTCTTACTCTGTTGCCCAGGCTAGAGTGCTGCGGCGTCAGCCTAGCTCACAGCAACCTCAAACTCCTGGGCTCAAACAATCCTTCTGCCTCAGCCTCCTGAGTAGCTGGGACTACAGGCATGCGCCACCATGCCTGGCTCATTTTTTTTTTTCCTATATATTTTTAGTTGGCCAATTTATTTCTTTCTATTTATAGTAGAGACGGCGTCTCACTCTTGCTCAGGCTGGTTTTGAACTCCGGACCTTGGGCGATCCACCTGCCTCGGCCTCCCAGAGTGCTAGGATTACAGGCGTGAGCCACCGCGCCCGTTTCCTATATATTTTTAGTTGGCCAATTTATTTCTTTCTATTTATAGTAGAGACGGCGTCTCACTCTTGCTCAGGCTGGTTTTGAACTCCGGACCTTGGGCGATCCACCTGCCTCGGCCTCCCAGAGTGCTAGGATTACAGGCGTGAGCCACCGCGCCCAGCCTTGTGTTTAATTTTCTGAGGAACTGCCGTATTTTTTTCCACAGCAGCTTTACCGTTTTATATGCCCACCAGCAATGTATAAGTGTCCCAATTTTTCCACATCCTTCCCAACACTTGGTATTTTCTACTTTTGGGCTCCCCCCACCTGTTTTTGGATAGTAGCCATCCTAATGGGTGTGAAGTGGTATATCACTCCAGTTTTAATTTGCATTTCTCTAATGACTAGTGTTGTTGAGCATCTTTTCATGTGCTTAGTGTCCATTTCTGTATCCTCTTTGGAGAAATGGCTATTTAAAGTCCTTTGCCCATTTTTAAATTGGGTTGTCTGGGTTTTTTCATTGAGTTGTAGGAGTTTTTAAATTATATTCTGGATATCAATCCCTTATCAGATATATATTTTGAAATATTTTCTTTCATTCTTTGGGTTGACTTTTCACTCTGTTGATAGTATACTTTGATGCACAGAAGTTTTAAATTTTGATAAAGCCCACCATATCTATTTATCTTTTGATGCCTGTGCTTTTGCTATTATATCTAAGAAATGATTGTCAAAGCCAATATCATGAAGGATGTTCTCTTCCATGTTTTCTTTCTTTCTCTGTGCATCCTCTCCGTGTGTCAGTTTGTGTCTGTCCTGTCTCTCTGTTTCTGTATGTTTGTATATGTCTGTTTGTGTTTTTGTCTACATATTTGTAAACCACTGAAGCTTATATATGTATTATCTCTTATTTTTTGTCTTATTCCTTTTTTCTTTTCCTTTTTTTGTTGAAAATACTATTTGAAACTTATTAAAGACATAATGCATCTCCTAGAAATAATGGCATTTTTCTAAATAACCATAATCACTACTGCCTTTAGAATTGGGCATGTAGAGCTCCTGCCTTGTGCTGTCTACCTTGGAGTGCCTTTCTTGAATTTTCTCCTCCCTGACCAAATACTTGAAAGGTAGGATACCTCCAGCTCTTCTCTTTTAGGCATCTCGTATTTAGAATTATAATAAATTTTCTAATTACATTGAAAATTGAAGCTTAACTTTATTTTGCTGATTTTATTGTTTACTACTGTATACCATGTTTTTCTTCTAAATTATTTTTCTCTTATTTTACATATTTCTTTAACTGGTTAATGTGTATTTTTTAGTGTTATAGTTATTAATTACCTTTCTTCTGTCTCTCTAGTACCGAGTTGAAACTCTTGGAGGAGGCAACCATTTCAGTCTGCAGGTCTTTAGGTAAGGGGGGAATATGCGTGTGTGTATGTGTATAGGGGCATTTTTTTTCAAATTTTCTGTTATAATATTTGAAAGTATAATATGAATTGAATTAATGAAGTGATTCTTCTTCTTTGATGATGATAACAACAGTAATAATAATTATTTGTATTCATGATACTTACTGGTGCTATTAGAAGGTACCATTCAGTCAATGGTAATAACACACATAGTTGGCTATCTCTATTTATAGTAGTGATAATGGACTCTGCTAAGCCATAGACACTCTTTCAGCCTGTTCTTTTAGTGAATTTTGCAAAAAAAGCGAAGTATTAAGTTAGTTTTGTAGTTGTGTGGACAGTTCTCATCGTCAATATAGGACCGTTTGTCCTGCAATTTTCCCTGGCTGTATATGCTGTTACTGGCTATGTTAACCAGAATAATTATTACTCCTTAAAACACATTAGGGGTATATATTAGGAAGCGTCTCTGAAACAACTTGATGTTATGGTGAAGAGCATGGGATGTGGAATCATTTTATGATTTTAATTTCAGCTGTGCCATTTATTAGCTCAGCCTTAATTTCTTAATCTAAATTGAGGGTAAGACCAACTATTTTACAAGATTTTTGTAAAGAAAAAATTAGAACATTAATATCCAGCATAATGTGTAGCATCTATTTACCATTTATATCAACAAAAATGTTATCTTTTTCAGGCCTTTTCCTCAAATGCTTTAATTTCAAATTGGTAGCAATTGGAAAGGAATGTATATGCTTTAAAAAAATGCAGATAATTGGCCAGGTGTAGCTGACGCTTATAATGCTAGCATTCTGGGAGGCTGAGGCAGGAGCTTTGCTTGAGCCTCAGTGAGCTATGATGATGAAGTTGCAGTGAGCTAAATCCTATGAGGGCCCACCCACAACTCTAAAGCCTGACGGGACACGCGAGCAACCTGCTCAAAAAACAAAAAAAAAAAACAGATGAATTATGGCTACATTGCCATAAAAAAAAAAGGAAAATAAAATAAATAAATTTTTATAATATTGAACAAGAGAACACTTGAACATAACCAAAAATTCCCTCCCCGTCTTGGCCTACCCAGAGTGCTAAACCAAGTGTAAGAGACCACAACCGCTCAACAACCACACATAATATAAAAAAACACGATTACAAGAACAATAATTAAAAAAAAAACATCACCACCATCCATCTCTAGAACTGTTTCGTTTTGACCAACTGAAACTCTGTACTGACTAAACACTTAGTCCTCATTCTTCTTTTCCTGGCCCCTGCAACACCATTCTGCTTTCTGTCTCTGCTGTTGACTACTCCAGGAATCTCATATAAAAGGAATCATACAATATTTATCTTTTTGTTGCTGGCTTATTTCACTTAACATAATGTCTTCAGGGTTTATCCAAATTGCAGCATATGTCCAAATTTCCTTTTTAAAGGCTAAATAATATTCCACTGTATGTATGTATTACATTTTGTTTATCAGTTCATCTGTTGATAGACAATTGGGTTACTTCCACGTTTGGCTATTGACAATAGTGCTGCTATTGTCAATAGTGCTGCTATTTGAACACAAGTGTACAAATATCTCTACAAGGCTGGATGTGGTGGCTCATAGTCTATAATCTCAGCACTTTGGGAGTTTTTAAGTCAAGCTATCTGGATAAGCTCCATATAACCTATATGGATAATTCCCATATAAGTTTACTTTGCCAGAAACAATCTTTGATGAAATATTTTTGTTTTTAAAAACAAATTATGTTGATAATGATAGAGATGTTATTATAGTAGTTACCTTGAATTACTATAGCTTAGAAATTTTGTGCTAAATAGAACTGGCTTTCAAAAGCCCTATGGAGTTTAATGCTGAAAATTAAGGAATTTTATGTAACAGTGATATCACTGCAGTTATTGTGATGATGGCTTTTAAGGTGACCCTAGGTTTTTGTCAAAATTTATAAAACTTTTACAAAAATAGAAAAACTTAAACAAGAAAAACAAAGAAAAAGGTAAAATAATTCACTTGATCTTAGCCAGTAGGTTGAGGAATGAGTAAAATATAACAAAATGACACATTTAAAGAAATGAAAAAATAAAAAAAAATTTATTTTAAAAATTGGAATACTTACTATATGTAATGTGGAAAACATACTCAAATGTAAAAAAGGTGGTAATTGCTCATAATTCTACAGCCCTAACAAAGCCATTGTTAATATTTTTATATATTGCCTTCTATTTATTCTATGGGTATAAATTTACATATATGTTATCTACCATATATATGTGTGTGTGTATATATATATATATATATATATGAGCCCTTGCACACAACTATTTTAATCTATATTTTTCACTTGATATTATATCAGGAGTATATTATATATTTAAAAATACTTGTGGGAACAGCAAAAGAAAAAAAAAAAAAGATATTTATTGCCCAAAATTCCAACAGTATGGAGGTATGGCTAAAGTAAAAATCATTCCATATTAAACAACACAGATGTAATCACTGGTAATCTTTTATGACAAGATTTTTTTCAGAGTATTCTATGTATATTGAATTATATACATAATTTTATATAGATATTATTTAATATCATTTTCACTTGGTATGTCATGAACCTCCTTTGAGACATCAATGAATATAAATGTATGTCAACATTAAGGACTATGTGGATATGCTTAGTTTCCTTTAAAAAAAATTTTTTTTAAAAGTGCTAGTTGGCTGGCAACACATCTCTTGGGTTTTTGGGTTTTTTGGCCTAAAAATGTTTTTCTTTTTCCTTCGCTTTTGAAGGATATGTTTGTTGGGAATAGAATTCTAGGTTGGCATTACTTTCCTTTCCATACTTTAAAGGTGGTGTTCTGTTGTTTTCTGGCTTTTTTTGTTGAAAAGAAAACTGTCAATCTATTGTTGCTTCTTTGAAAACAATGGAATTTTTTTCTTCTGGCTTCTGTTAAGGTTTCTTCTTTGTCCTTTAGTTTTTAGCAGTTTTAGATGTACTGAGCAGAGGTTTTCTTTGTTTTTTTGCTGCTTGAGGTCTGTAGAGCTTCTTAAATCAGCGATTTGGCGTCTTTGATCACTACTGGAAAATTTTCAGCCATTATCTGTTTATATGTTGTTTTTGGCCTGTCTCTCCTCTTCTTTTGAGACCTTTGTTACATGTCTGTTAAACATTTTCATTGTGTCCTATATGTTTGTTAGGCTCTTTTTTTTGTTGTTGTTGTTTTTACATTCTTTTTTTTATCTCTGTCAATAGGATATTTTCTATTAACCTATCTTTAGTTTACTTATCTTTTCTTCTGGTATGTCCCATCAGCTATTAAACCCATCTACTGAGATTTTTATTTTATTTTATTTTATTTTATTTTTTGAGACAGAGTCTCACTTTCTTATCCCAGTTAGAGTACGGTGGCATCAGCCTAGCTCACAGCAACCTCAAATTCCTGGGCTCAACCAATCCTCCTGCCTCTGCCTCCCAAGTAGCTGGGACTACAGGCATGTGCCACTATGCCCGGCTAATTTTTTCTATGTATTTTTAGTTGTCCAGTTAATTTCTTTCTATTTTTAGTAGAGACGGGGTCTCACTCTTGCTCAGGCTCGTTTCAACGTTTCAAACTCCTGACCTTGAGCTATCCACTGGCCTTAGCTTCACAAAGTGCTAGGATTACAGGCATGAGCCACCACGCCTCGCCCTACTGAGATTTTTAAATCAAACTTTTAAATTTACAATATCTGTAGATTTACAGAAATGTTGCAACCCCGGTAGGGGTGGGGAACCTGCGGCCTTCTGATTTCAAGATTGTTCTTTTTTAAGCACCAAAGGAGTCAAGAAAAGCTTCATATTTCTCTGCTGCACCCTTTTAATAAAAGGATTTTTTTCTGTAAAATTTGGATTCATTCAAAAAGCTGCACTTAAAGACCTAGAAGGCCACATGTGGCCGTAGGGCTGCAGGTTCTCCACCTCTGCATGGTACATTTATCTCAACTAAGGAGGCATACCTTGGAGATATTGTGGATTTCATTCCAGACCACTGAAATAAAGTCAGTATTGCAATAAAGCTAATCACGAATTTTTTGGTTTCCCATATAAAAGTTATGTAACATGAACCTTCAATTTGTAAAAAATACTTTATTGCTAACAAATGTTAATGTTATCTGAGCCTTCAACAAGTTGTAATCTTTTTGCTGGTGACAATAGCAACATCAAAGATCACTGATCATAGATCATTATAACACTTGTAATAATAATGCAAAAGTTTAAAATATTGTGAAAATTACCAGAATATGACACAGAGACACATAGAACTCATACTGTTGGAAAAATGGCACCTATCGAACTGCTCAAACCACCCGAGGGTTGCTGCAAACCTTCAATTTGTAAAAAATGGAATATCTGCAAAGTACAGTAAAGCACAGTGCAATTCAAGGTTTGCCTGTATATTATTTAATACTATTAACTAAACTCCACAATTTTTAGTCAGATTTTTACTAGCTTTTTCATAATTTTCCTTTTCTGTTCCATATCCCAGCTAGGATGTAGCATGACATTCAGTTGTCTTGTTTCCTTAGCCTTCTATGGTCTATCACACTTTCAGATTTTCTGCATTTTTGATGACTTTTAGAACTTTGAAAAGCACTAGTAGGATATTTTCCTGAATGTCCCTCAGTTTGAGTTTGTCTGATGTTTTCTTCATGGTTACACTGGGTTATAGGTTTTTGGGAGGAAGACCATGGAGGGGTGAGAGTGCTGTTCTCAACACATCATATCAGGGTATTCATATTAAACATGACTGTTATCCACTGGTATGTGATTTTTTTTTTTTTGTTGAGCAGAGTCATCGCTTGTTGCCCAGGCTAGAGTGAGTGCCATGGCGTCAGCCTCGCTCACAGCAACCTCAAACAACTCCTGGCTCAAGCAATCCTCCTGCCTCAGGCCTTCCCGAGTAGCTGGGACTACAGGCATGCGCCACATGGCCCGGCTAATTTGTTTCTATATATATGTTAGGTTGGCCATTAATATGTTTCCTATTTAGTAGGTAGAGATGGGTCGTCCTCTTGCTCAGGGTGGTTTCGAACTCCTGACCTTGAGCAATCCGCCCGCCTCGGCCTCCAGAGTGCTAGGATTACAGGCATGAGCCACCGCGCCCGGCCATAATGTTGATATTGATCACTGGGCTAAGGTAGTGTTTGTTACGTTTCTCCACTGTAAAGTCCCTCCAAACTCCATTGCCTTCATTTTTTGGGATATGGAATTCATGGTTAACATTTTTTTTCTTATAGTGCTGCCCCCCACTTCTTTATTAAAGTAACTGGGTAGTAGAGGTTCTCTCAGTACAGATTTTGTTCATTGTATCTCCATGTATTGTTAACTTGTCCTCTATCCTTTATATTTTCTGCACATTGGTTGTTGCATCTTAGGGCTCATGGGTATTTTAGCGAGGTATTGGAAGGTTTGTTTCAGGGCTCGGAAGCAAGTTTAATCTCGAATCCCAAATGGAAATCCCCTTTATAATAATACCTTTATCTGAGTGTTACCAAGATTTTACTCTAGAGATGGGACATTTCATTCTTTATGAAACTATTTTAGTTAATAGACAGCTACAAATTCAAGCTCTGGAGTCAGATAAGTTAGCTTTTTATTACTTAACCACTACTGTTATCTCAATTTTACAGATAAGGAAACAGACATGGGGAGGTTAAGCAGGTTGCCAAATGCCATACAGCTGGTCATCGGTGGAGATGGTATTTGAACCTTGCCAGATTCTGCAGTCTAGTCCCATTACACTTTTCTGCTTTCCTGTCTGATCCCCTCTGTTGCTCTGACTCCTGAAGCTCATTCAACTTCAACATAGCATGTTTGTATCAATTAATGTGATCCTATTAAATTCCTTTGTTCCTACCATTGAGATACTTTGGAATCTTGAGTCTATTATGGAGTATTATTTAAAATCATTGAGTGCATTTAATTTTGTTAATTTATTGGTCCAATTTCCATCTTATTAAAAAGAGTAGTGTGGAAACTGTCTTGGTATATAAGCTCCATGAGACAGGGAGCTCCATTTGCAGGTCCCTCCTAAGTGCCCGAAACAGGGTGGGCACATATGAGCAGCTCAGTAAATACGGGGTGCATGAATGAATGAATGAAAAAGGTACAAAAAGATTTAATAACATTAATCTAGTAGTCTGGTTGCTTTTTCCAACATCATAGAGTTATTTGTTTGTTTCTTTGTTTTTTAAATAGCTAATCATTTATAAATTCAAATGACTACTTACAAAGTCATTCAATAATAAAGGGGCTGTTGAATGAACAAAGATTTTGAAGTTGGGATTCTGAATGACAGTCGTAGTCATATCAGCCTCAGTTTAGTTTGTTTCCATATTTGGTTTTGATTTACAATAGCTAGATAATGTTAAGTACCATATAGATATACTTGCAAAGGTTAACTTTTTTTTTTTTCTAAACAGTTTATCCTGAAATCTCAGGGTATTCTTTCATTAAACTAAACCCAAAGCTTGAAATAGGAATAGTGGAACTCTAACAATATCTAATATCCGATCACATATCTATTCTTGATTATGAAGGCTGGACAAAAACTCCCTAACTTGAACAAATGTTGCACCTTGTTACTCACAGTGGGGTTCTCTAACCAACAGCAGTGAGCAGTACCTGGGAGACAGGTTAGAGCTGCAGAATTTCAGTTTATGCTTCACACATGTACAGTCAGAATTTGCATTTTAATAAGAATGCCCTGTCATTTAAATGCACATTGAACTTTGAGAAGCACTGTCAACTTCAGGGGGTGTAGGGTAGATCTGTGATTTTGGAATTCCAGGAAGCTACCAGATAATGCTATTGCTGCTAGTCTGTGAACCACACTTGGAAGAGCAAGGGTGCTACAACATTTTATCACAATGAGAAAGTTCAGCGGTTTCTTGCAGACTTGAAGCTGTGACAGGAACACATATCCAGCAGATAGAGCTAGTTAACTTAGCAGTTATTAAGCACAAAAGCCAGTATGCTGTAAAGGTGTACTTATTCCCATGTAATTTTGGTGTTTTTTTGAGACAGAGTCTTGCTCTGTCACCCCAGGTAGAGTACAGTGGCATCATCATAGCTCACTGCAACCTCAAACTCCTGGACTCCAGTGATCCTCCTGCATCATCCTCCTGAGTAGGTGGGACTATAGGCATATGCCACCACACCTAGCTAATTTTTTCCATTTTTGGAGAGATGGGGTCTCACTCGTGCTTAGGCTGGTCTTAAACCCCTTACCTCAAGTGATCCTCCTGCCTCGGCCTCCCAGGGTATTAATATTACAGGTGTCCTATGTACAATTTTTAAAAATATGTATGTGTAGACCTGGATTAAAAAAATATTCTGGAGAACTCCATCTTTTCAGATTTTTGACACATATCAAAAAGTTCAGTTATACTTAATTTCCAAGTCTGCATAAAAATGAATTCTCCTGGCAGGACAGGCCAGTATGTGTGAGTGTTTGCATTTCTGTTTTTCAAAATAGTTAAAAGTATACTTCAAAAGAGAAAAATATCTAAGCCTCTGGAATCTCAAATTTTGAAAATCATTGGTAAAGGAAAAAGACTGTGCACTTGCTTCTAACATATTGATTTTGGGCCCATTTCTTTGGGCCCATTTCCTTTAATCATTAGTAACATTAAAAGTTCTGACTAAATAGTCTCTCCCTTCTGGTCAATTTTTAGCTTCTGTGACTTGCTATGCAACCTAATAGAACTTTATAGCTTCATTAAGCCCAGTCTCTTGATTTTAGGGGTTTGGTATAACTTAGCAGTTTAGAGTGAAGGATTTGAGCCAGTACATAAGGATGTGTCCTTGAGCATGTGGGGATCTGTGAAATGGAAGTATTCATAATACTGGTGTTCAACCTGGAGATTTGTCCTGGAGGGTCAAAAAAATTTTACGACCAGGCATGGTGGCTCACACATGTAATCCTAGCATCTTGGGAGGATTGCTTTAGCCTAGGAGTTCAAGACCAGCCTGGACAACATACCAAAACCACATGTCTACAAAAATTAGAAAACTTAACTGGTGTGGTGGTGCATGCCTATAGTCTCAGGAGGCTAAGGTAGGAGGGTGGCTTGAGCCTGGGGGTTTGATGTTGCAGTGAACCTTAATGATGCCACTGCACTCTAGCCTGGCAACAGAGCAATACCCTGTCTCAAATATATATATATATATATATATTTATACATATATATATTTTTAAACAAATTCTTTAAAATTTTGTCTGATCAGATAACCTCCTCTCTAGCCACATTGCTTTATGTGTCTATTTTTCATTAGAATGATTTGTGATGATCTGAACAGAATTTTACTTTCACATTTTATTATATTCTATATCCTGGGGATACAGATGATCAGTTTTTGAGCTTTTTAATTGTATTATTTAATTTAATCTGTTTTTTAGAGATGAAGTCTCACTCTATCACCCAGGCTGGAGTACAGTAGCATGATTATAGGTCACTGCAATCTTGAACACATGGGCTCATGTGATCCTGCTGCCTCAGTCTCCCGAGTAGCTAGGACTATGGGGACACACCACCACGCTCGGCTAATTTTTAAATTTTTTGTAGAGATGGGGTCTCACTATAATGCCCAGGATAGTCTTGAACTCCTGGCCTCAAGTGATCCTCTTGCCTCAGCCTCCCAAAGTGTTGGGATTTCAGGGATGAACCATTGTGCCTGGCCTTGAGTTTTATTAAATGTCTACTTTTCTAAAGAGAGAGGAGTATGAGTATAAATTGAATTTATCTATTAATTATTATGTCTTTCCTTTATAATTTTGGATTCTGAAATGAGATGGCTACTTCTTTTATTTCTATTATTTTCATTTAGGAAATGATTTTTTGATGTTCAGAATTAAGACCAAGAGTAGCAGTTTCTTTCATTGCTTATTTGCCTGATTAGGTGTGAAATTGGCAATAAGGTTGGTCAATGAACAATTTCAACTTGACATTTGGTTTAATAAATGTTATGATTTCACTTTGATTTCAATTCTTAGTTTTAACTTTTTAAAACCTTTTCTTCTCTTGCAGTTGAAAACAACCCTCGAACAGGAAATCTTGGTGCACTAATTAAGGTCTTCCTTTCTAGAACCAAAGAACTAAAACTTTCAGCAGAATGTCAGAAGTAAGCTGTCTAATTAAATCATGTTCACTTTATATTTAATAATATGAATTTTATTTTTCATTTACTGGTAGAAATAAATTATGGTCTTTTAAAAACCCCTGTGAAGGAATTCTCATTAAGGGAAAAAGGCAAAAGAGAGATGTCTTAACTTAGTGTCTAAGTTACAGGAGTGAAATTATAAATTCTAGAATCTGTTTGACTCTAGCATTTTAGACAATCTTTTTTTTTTTTTTGTCACCCCAGGTAGAGTACAGTGGCATCATCATAGCTCACTGCAACCTCAAACTCCTGGACTCCAGTGATCCTCCTGCTTCATCCTCCTGAGTAGCTGGGACTACAGGCATGCGCGGGGTCTCGCTCTTGCTCAGGCTGGTTTTGAACTCCTGACCTTGAGCAGTCTTCCCCCCTCGGCCTCCCAGAATGCTAGGAGCCTGAGCCACCATGTCCGGCCTAGACAATCTTTTTTTCTTTTTTTTTTCTTTTTATTTTTTTTTTTGGTTCATTCTCATACCTTATTGGCCTAGACAATCTTTAAAAATATATTTTTTAAATAAGATCAGTAGTGATGTAATTATTATTTTAAAAGGTAATTTTCTTCTGTTATCACTGCTGATCATACCTAGTTTAAATAAGACTTAGTTTGAGTATTAGTTCATTCTTTGTCCCTTACCTTTATTTGTTTCATGTTAGACTCAGTGGAAAGTTAACTTTTTGTGTAGTCAAGCATTTTTTAAAACCATTTTTAAACGACAGTCTCTTAAAAGGTTGTTTATTACCTTGTTTCTACACAAATTATATTTAATACAATTTTTACTTGTGAGTTTACAGTCATTAATACAAAACACCAAGTATTGTACTCTGTTGCTGGTGATGCCTCATTTAAAATTTTGACTACATATTTGCATATAGTCTTTTTATTACTGTAATTTTGGGGAGTTTTTAGCTTTCTTTTAATTGCTTTTATGTGGTACCACTATAAAGAACAGAGCAGTCACGTCTACAGACATCTATAAAGATTTTTATCAAGTAGACTCACTATGTAAAATTACATGGAATGAAATATGAAGTAAAATATAGTACCTATCAATGGCCCAGTGTAATAAATCATGAGCCATTAAAAGATATGGACATTGTTCTCATATTGCAAATAGGATGGACAAAATGGTTGACAAAATCATGAGGACATGACAAATCATGAGGAAATCATGAACTAGAAATAAATGAATCATGCTTATGATTAAATATTGATTCTTGTGTGATTTTGGTGTTTCCTTTCTAGCCACATCTTCATTTGGCAAACACACAATGCTTTATTTATTATTTGCTGTTTGCTGAAGGTGTTCATCAGTGAGATGTCAGAGGAAGAATTACAACTTCATTTTATATATGAAGAAAAATCTCCTGGCAGTTACAGTAAGTATTGCCTTTGAAGATGTTCTGGATATATCATGTATAACATTACAAAGATAAACTTGGCCAGGTAAGGTGGCTCACACCTGTAATCCCAGCACTTTCGGAGGCTGAGGTGGGAAGTTGCTTGAGATCAGGTATTTGAGACCAGCTTGGGCAACATAGTGAAACCCTGTCTCTACAAAAAATTGAAAAATTAGCTGGGCATGGTGGCATGCACCTGTAGCCCTAGCTACTTCACCTGTAGCCTTGGAAGGCTACTTGGAAGGCTGAGGCAGGAGGATCACTTGAATCCAGGAGTTTAAGATTGCAGTAAGCTATGATCACACCATGGTACTCTAGCCTGAGTGACAGAAGAAGATCCTGTCTAAAGAAAAACCCTACAAAACCATTTTTAGATGGCAAAAATCTTACACAAACTCTGGTTATTATCATGTAAATTGGGAATTATGTTACATTTTGAATAAATCAGAAGCCATGGCATAGCAAAATAATAGTTTACTACAGTACTTTTAACTCAAAGTGGTAGAGAGACCATGTGTATTTATCTTTTTTCACTTCTGAGACACCTGATAGTAGAGGAATTTCCTACAATTACTATTGAACAACTTAGGACAGTCAGTTAGTTCATCTTTTTTTTGGCTCCTTATGGCTTCTTTTAAGATTATGAAACAGTTTTGGAAAAATAAAATATAAATTTCTGTTTTACTGTACTCTTTTTCTTCATTCTCATCCTCAGTGTATTTCCAACTTACAGAAGGATATCCTTCATGATCCATACTTTGAAAATGTGATTTTATGGTCTTCTAATATTTTTTTTTTTGAGACAGAGTCTCACTTTGTTGCCCAGGCTAGAGTGAGTGCCGTGGCGTCAGCCTGGCTCACAGCAACCTCAATCTCCGGGGCTCAGCGATCCTACTGCCTCAGCCTCCCGAGTAGCTGGGACTACAGGCATGCGCCACCATGCCCGGCTAATTTTTTGTATATATATTTTTAGTTGGTCAATTAATTTCTTTCTATTTTTGGTAGAGACGGGGTCTCGCTCAGGCTGGTTTCGAACTCCTGACCTTGAGCGATCCGCCCGCCTCGGCCTCCCAAAGTGCTAGGATTACAGGCGTTAGCCACCACGCCCGGCCGTCTTCTAATATTTTAACATCTGTTCTGTGGCTGAGCACCGTGATAGCCATTTTGTGGGTTCATATCTGAGGAGGCTGTTTCCTTGTTTCTGTACAGTCAAAACTCACTAAGCTCTTCTGTAGGTTTTGAGGAAACTGAAAGTGGCAAATATCACAGGGAATGAAATCACTTTCTTATATTAATAGCAACACTGTGTACAAGGTGTGCATAACATTTAGCAGGCAAGAGCTTTTCATTTTGTTTGGTAAGAAGTTTGTATACTGAACCCTTTGCATTTGCTTGCTTTTTTCTTGATTTCTTTATTCTACTCAGGATTTAATTTTTTAAATACCCCAGATTTTACAAAGCGCGGCAGTAGAATAAAAAACTGTAGTTTCTTTTCATACAAGCTTATTTATTTGGATTTTTTTATATTTCAAATTATTGATATATTCAAAGAGTAATTTTAATCTCTATAATTTTTGCTAACCATGTCGAGTCACACTTGACATCCGAGTGCAAAGGGTGAATGGTATTTGCTGGAATTTACATGTGCGTTGTCTCCCCAATATGCAAGATAGATGAGCAAAATCTAGTTTGTGTTTGAACAAGATAACAATCTTTTGCTTTATGTTTTCTTTTTAATTTACATAGAAATTCTTTTTCTCTAACGATACTGGGCAAATATGGGTTGGGTTTATTTTTATTCAATTTTCTTCCCTGAGAATGCAATTAAAAATTATAAAATTAAGTAGGTTTCTTAAGTACTCTAAAGTTTCTTTCTGAACAAATGATGTAGTTGGCTGGTTGCAGGGAATCTAAATCATATGTTTTACTTTTCTTTTAAAGCTATTATTCCTCATTTCATAGCTAAAATGTGATATTAGCTACTAACTATGTGATAGCTATTAACTTTGATATTATTATTGAATAAAGCAAGCATTATCAATATCAGTTTTAGCCGTTTTACTTGCTGTCATTTTTTATTGCCCCCTCTGTTCTAGAAGACCCATTCCATGGAAAATCACTCAGTGTTTTGCCTAGTTTGAGTTAGTATGAATTGCTACCTCATTAACTTTGGGTTAATGCGGGGAGGAGAGGAAGGAAAAGAGATGTAGATTCTTAAATCTCTTTGCTGTTAAAAAACAATTTTAAATTTCAAATGCTATGCATGCCATGTTATAATTTATCAAGTGAAGAATAAGTTCCTGTAAAGGGTGAATAAAATGATAATAAGCAGAAATAATTTTTTTTAAAGGCAAAGGCAAGTATAGATAAGGAAGAGAGAGAGAGAATATCTTTTCCTCCTTCCCATTTTATAACTGCGAGACTGGCATTTGGGTCCTTGGATGAAAATGTTTGCCTGATCTTCTCAGGGGAAGCAACTCTCCAGTTCATTGTAGATCAGATGTTTCTTCCTTGAATTCTATGCTGTCTACCCTTGAGTAATTGCTGCACCTTTGAGATTCTGCTCTAAGGAAGACAGGCAGCCAACTTTTGTGGAGACTACTTTTTATTAAGCTACCTTAGAAAAGGGAGGCAAAGCACTAGAAGCAAATTGAACCCTTCCGTGTTTTTAGAGATTGAGCATTTGTCATTTCATCAAAACTTATTTCAATAATAAAAGGCCCTTTTGACTCCACATTTGATTAGTGGTACTGAAAAAAACAGATTTCTTCTTCTTCTTTTTTCCCCCCAAATCTGGTCATAGGCAAAATACATTTTCTCTTTCTCTCTCACTGACTAAGAAGGAATGGAACATAATAAAGTCAAGACCTTCTAAATTACTTCTGAATATAGCGAGATTTTTTGCTTTTCTTGATTCTCTTTCTGAACCAACTATTATGTTCTCTGACATACCACATAACTAACTGTATGTTATCATCATGGACTTAATCAAAGATTTTGTGAAAATTAACCAAGTTAGTGTGTGAGAAATTCTGATGTTTTGAATGTTATGTACTTTGTTTATTCTAGGAGGGAATGTTTGTGAGAATTCTGTAGAATCAACTTAATTTAATGTAACTGTTTGCATCATCTTTTATAATTACTGTTTATCATTCACCATTGATTTTCTTTTCTTTCATTTGTTTCTTTTTTGAGACAGAGTCTCACTTTGTTGCCCAGGCTAGAGTGAGTGCCATGGCGTCAGCCTAGCTCACAGCAACCTCAGACTCCTGGGCTCAAGCAGTCCTACTGCCTCAGCCTCCCAAGTAGCTGGAACTACAGGCACACACCACCATGCACAGCTAATTTTTTCTATATATATTAGTTGGCCAAATAATTTCTTTTTATTTATAGTAGAGACAGGGTCTCGCTCTTGCTCAGGCTGGTTTCAAACTCCTGACCTTGAGCAATCCTCCCGCCTTGGCCTCCCAGAGTGCTAGGATTACAGGCGTGAGCCACCGTGCCCAACCACCATTGATTTTCAAAGCTTGTGCTTTATACATTGATTTTTAGTTTTAAGAGATAAATATGTTTAATTCACTGCTTTGATAATTTGCCTTCTATATTTGCTAAATATATACTGATATCTAAACAGAGCTCTTAATTAGAATTGTGTCATGTATGTGTTAGTTTTGTTAATGCTAGTCTTCATGTTTGTGGTGCCAACAGTACCAAAAACATAGTTCTACTTGGTGAGTTGCAGACCTTCCACAAAATCCAAGCCGCACGAATGGAGTGAATGTTTATACCCACAGGACTTAAGACCATAGTCCAACCAACACTTGCAAACCCAACATTTTGTTTTATATTGTGCCCTAAAAATTATGCATATTTTATATTTTATTTAACACAATATCATTTTTATTTTAATATAAAATTATTTTTATTATACACCATTGAGTAAATTGATACACTTGAGAGATATAATGTATTTATTTTGGGGCCAAACATCTTCCCAGAGTATTCTCTTTGCCCCTGCATCCTCAGCTGTTCTCCAAGCTTGAGAAGCATTTTTGTTTATCCTTGGTAACTTAATGTTGGGGTGGTGGCAAAACAATACTTTGTCAACCATAGGCCACATTATCAAGGTGATTGTCTCACTGAAGGAGTCATCTCTGGTCTGATGATTGCTGATTCTGTGTACTGACAGACTGTCTCCTTCTTTTATGTGGAGTTAACAATTCAGGATTTTATACATGCTCTTTAATGTTGTATTTTGTTTATAATGGAGCCCACTCTTGGTCCACCAACTTGAATCCAGTGAATATCTTTTTAAGGCTAAAAACTTTCTGTTTTTGGCATATGTAATTATTTTCATCTTAGTCTTACATGTTGTTAGTTTGAGATTTCTACTTTAGCCCTTTTTATATTTTCCAACAATTTCTTTTTATAATTTATAAAAGAACAGTACAATTAAATTATTACTGCTGAATGGGAAAAAATGGAACCTCACTATGCAGTAGCTGATAAAAGATCTATTTATCATACCCCCACAATATGCCGAAATAAAATAAATAAATAAATAAAAAGATCTATTTATCAGCTGATATATGAATGTCTAGATTGGGTGTGTGGAAAGACTCTTTGGAGTAGGTAAGATACAGTGGCACAGGTTGTTTGAAGGTTGAATTTATAAAAGTAGAGGACCATCTGCAAACAATTGAGCAAAATCAACTGAGGCATGTTAGGTATGTTGGCTTATTTTACATACAGCATGTTTTTCTTTATCCCAGGCCATTGTAATAGTGCTGTGATCACATGGATATTGCTGGCATTTTCAGTGAAACAGTCTTTATGAGAGTAAAATGTGACTATCACTAAGCTTCCAGTTTGTAATCTAAATTTGTGAGGATTTTGTAGTTGAACATTTTCCTATAGGCTATGTATGATGTGGTAGCAGGTTGTTAGAGAGAATTTGTATCATTATATGAGGATAGCTC